TACGTGTTACTTACAGATTGAATGACTGCGCGGCCGACAGCGTAACGCTATGCGTTAATGATCAAAGTTGAACTCCGCAGTGGTCCGCTGGACAACGGGTTATATCCCATCTCAAGTGGGCCACTGCACTGCTTAGTCGTTGCAATTATTGCAACGACGGCAGTTTTTTGGAGGACGCGTGCATTGAGGGCGCCGAAGTCCTGCGTCGGCGTCCTCAATAATTATGGGTCATTGTTGCAATAATAGATTGCAACAGTGACCTGCTTATTTCTAAGTGTGACGTTGTAAGTACGTCAAAACGAGACTTACAACAGACGCAAGAGGTATACGCGTACGATAAAGCAACGCAGACCATCGGCGAAGAACACTTGTGGAATCTCACCCGTACGCAGCCACATCTAGCGTGGGGCCCGCGTCAACCTCCGGCCTAGTCAAAAGGCAGGCAATCGGCCCTTTTCAGGGCCACACAAAAATACACTTATAATCAACTGTACATAACTTTGTATATATATTGGACAAAATACACTGCTGTGAAAAAGAAAAACCACACTACTTCATTTTTGGCGACTACCGATCTTCCATCAAACCGCGCGCGTAGCGAGCGAGAAATATACCTTGCGAGAAGCGATTCGCATAACGCCCGTCAAAAGGAAGATCACCGTTGGTCAGAGCAACCCGCTCTCTAACACACGCTCTCCACTGCGAACACCGCGACGTTCGATACCCCTCACCTTCCTTTATTCCTAATAACATCCCTCCACACGCTCTTCCCTTCCTATTCCTCCTTTTTGCCATTTGTATCCTCCACTTGTATCCCCTCGGCAATCTATCTTTCACTCTTTCCCACCCTCTTTTCTCTAACCTAATGTCTTCATCAACATTATCACATCCCATTTTTCTAATCCCTTCCAAAATTCCTTATTCTTATTTCCTAACCCCACCACATTCCAAAATGCTACTTTCCATATCCCCTCATTTCCTCTCCTCTTCTCACCTTCTCTCTCTCCTCCTTTCCTCTCTCCTTTCTCCTCCCTTTCTCTTACCTTTATTTCATCCCTTTCTCTCCTCTCATATTCCCTTACTCCCTCTATTATCCCGCTTTCTCTTTTTTCTCCACTACTCCTTCCCCCTTTCTTTCCCACACCTCCCCCTCTCTATTCTTTAATACTTCCTCCTCCTCCTCCTATTTCCACCAAATGTTGGAAATAGGAGGAGGAGGAGGAAGTATTAAAGAATAGAGAGGGGGAGGTGTGGGGAAGAAAGGGGGAAATATTTCCCTCTATCTGTATCTTCCCGTATCCAATCCATACCTTTCTTCCTTTCCCTCTCTTCTTTGCCGCTATCTCTTCTAACAACCATTTCATCTTCCTTTCTTTCCATGTTAAATCATCCTCTATTCGAATTCCTTTTTCCTTTATTTTCATTCTCTTTATCATTAATTCTTTTTTCTGCTCTAAATTATCACACTTAATTAATGCTAACCCTCCTCTCTTCTTCTCGTTACCTATTTTCTTTATCTCTTTTATCTTTATTTCGACTCTTATTTGTTCCACTATTCTCTCTATCTTTACCCTTATTTCCTCTTTTTTCTCTCCTTTAATCCCTTTTATTATTATATTTTTTCTTCTCTTTTCCCTTTCTCTTATCTCTATCGTTCTCTCCATCTTCCTTACTCTTTCTTCCATCTCCCCCCTTCCCCCTCCCCTTTCGATTCTTTCTCCTTTCATTCTCATTTCTTTAACCTTCCTCTCTAATTCTTCTATTCTTCTCTCCAATTCCCTTTTCTCTTTTCCCCATTTCTCCTCTCTTTCTTTCAGCTGCTTCTTTAAATTTTCCAAGTCCCCCTTTATCTCTCTCCCTTGTCCTCTCATCTCTTCTTTTAGCTCCTCCTTTACCTCCCTTAATAATTCCCTTAACTCTTTCTTCCATTCCTCCCCTTTGCTTCTTTTCTTTGTTTTATCCTTCTCCTCTACTGCCTTTCCCTCTCCCCTCTGTCCCTCTTTTGGCACTTTTTTCTCCACTCTACATTCTCCCAACTCCAACTTTTTAATTTCCTCCTCTTCCTCCATTGCTTCTCTTTTCCTTTTCCATAATTCTTCTATGCTTCCTGTACTTCCTGCGCTCCCCCTTCTCTCCACTCTCCTCTCTCTTACCTCTACTCTTTCCACACCTGTCATCTTTCTACCTTCCTCTGCCATATTCCTATCTACCTTCTTTACTCTCTATGCTCTCCCCTCTTGTTCATCTTTATACTCCTTCTATCCTCTTTCCTTCTCGCTTACCACCTTCTCTCCCTCTACTCTATGCCTGTCCGTCTCCCGTTCAAACTTCCTCTACCTACTCCACCAGGTGTCGCCACCCTCTCCCCTTACTTTCCTTC